AATGACGTATGTGGGGTTCCTCGGTAGCGTAATCACCATCGTCATCGTCCATCACCATTATCGCCATCGCCATCGTCATCGTGAACAGTAGCATAACCATCGTCATCACCATCATCATGATGAAGCCTTCCTCATCGCAGAACCGCCCCTCCTCCTCACCCTCCTCAGTGGGAGGAGTAGGACGTGAGATGGATAGGTAATCTTCTCCCCTCCCCCTCACCCATGTCAGTGGGAGGGACACCAAACAATTTAAATAGTGTGGGTTTCCGATACCCTCCTCGCTCAGGCAGGGCCTCCCTGGAGGGGTGGGAGGGGCACGAAACCATGGAAATAGCATGGGTTTCCGAGACTCTCCTCGCTCAGGCGGGGCCTCCCTGGAGGGGTGCGAGGGGCACGAAACCATGTAAATAGTTTGGGTTTCCGATACCCTCCTCGCTTAGGCGGGGCCTCCCTGGAGAGGTGGGGAGGGCACGAAATCATGTAAATAGTATGGGTTTCCGATACCCTCCTCGCTCAGGCGGGGCCTCCCTGGAGGGATGGGAGGGGCACGAAACCATGTAAATAATATGGGTGTCCAATACCCTCTTCGCTCAGGCAGGGCCTCCCTGGAGGGGCGGGAGGAGCACGAAACCATGTAAATAATATTGGTTTCCGATACCCTCCTCGCTCAGGCGGGGCCTCCCTGGGGGGGGGGAAGGGGCACGAAACCATGCAAATAGTACGGATTTCCGATACCCTCCTCGCTCAGGCGGGGCCTCCCTGGAGGGTGGGAGGGGCACGAAACCATGCAAATAGTATGGGTTCGAAACCATGTAAATAGTATAGAATTCCGATACCCTCCTCGCTCAGGCGGGGCCTCCCTGGAGGGGTGGGAGGGACACGAAACCATGTAAAGAGTACGTGGTTCCCATACCCTCCTCGCTTAGGCGGGGCCTCCCTGGAGAGGTGGGAAGGGCACGAAACCATGTAAGGAGTATGGGTTTCCGATACCCTCCTGGCGCAGGCGGGGCCTCCCTGGAGGGGTGGGAGGGGCACGAAACCATGTAAATAGTACGGGTTTCCGATACCCTCCTCGCTCAGGCGGGGCCTCCCTGGAGGGGTGGGAAGGGCACGAAACCATGTAAATAGTTTGGGTTTCCGATACCCTCCTCGCTCAGGCGGGGCCTCCCTGGAGGGGTGGGAGGGGCACGAAACCCTGTAAATAGTACGGGTTTCCCATACCCTCCTCGCTCAGGCGGGGCCTCTCTGGAGGGGTGGGAGGAGCACGAAACCATGTAACTATGCTAACGGAGTTCCCCACATAAAGATATGAACGGTTTCGTAGGACCCATGGGGTACGACAGCATCAACACGAAGGAAAAGCTCATCGAACGAGTAAGTACGCACGAAAGGGCAAACGAAAAAGATGAGGAGGGAGGACAGGTGCTCAGGAAACGAAGCCTTGTAAATAGTACGGTCTCTTGATACCCTCCTCGCTCAGGCGGGGCCTCCCTGGAGGGGTGGAAGGGGCACGAAACCATGTAAAGGTGTCCGATACCCTCCTCGCTCAGGCGGGGCCTCCAGGGGTGGGAAGGGCCGAAACCATGTAAATAGTATGGGTTTCCGATACCCTCCTCGCTCAGGCGGGGCCTCCCTGGAGGGATGGGAGGGGCACGAAACCATGTAAATAGTACGGGTTTCCGATACCCTCCTCGCTCAGGCGGGGCCTCCCTGGAGGGGTGGGAGGAGCACGAAACCATGTAAATAGTATTGGTGTCCGATACCCTCCTCATACCCTTCCCGCTCAGGCGGGGCCTCCCTGGAGGGGTGGGAGGGGCACGAAACCATGCAAATAGTGTGGGTTTCCGACCTCCTCGCTCAGGCGGGGCCTCCCTGGAGAGGTGGGAAGGGCACGAAACCATGTAAATAGTTTGGGTTTCCGATACCCTCCTCGCTCAGACGGGGCCTCCCTGGAGGGGTGGGAGGGGCACGAAACCATGTAAATAGTATGGGTTTCCGGTACCCTCCTCGCTCAGGCGGGGCCTCCCTGGAGGGGTGGGAAGGGCACGAAACCTTGTAAATAATATTGGTTTCCGATACCCTCCTCGCTCAGGCGGGGCCTCCCTGGAGGGGTGGAAGGGGCACGAAACCATGGAAATAGCATGGGTTTCCGATACCCTCCTCGCTCAGGCGGGGCCTCCCTGGAGGGGTGGGAGGGGCACGAAACCATGTAAATAGTATGGGTTTCCCATACCCTCCTTGCTCAGGCGGGGCCTCCCTGGAGGGTCGGGAGGGGCACGAAACCTATGGTATGTTATTGCATGGGTAGTTTGGTATGGTAGTGTATGGTATGTGTGGTATGGTATTGTATCGTATGGTAGGTATGCTATTGTATGGTAGGTATGGTATGGTATTGTATGGTAGGTATGGTATTGTACGGTGTGGTATGGTATGGCATGGTACGTATGCTATAGTATGGTTGAAATGGTATGGTAGTGTTCGGTATTGTGTGGTATGTATGGTGTGTATGGTGTGGTATGGCATGGTAGGTCTGGTATAATATGGTATGGTATTAGTTTGTAGCGTGTGGTATGTATGGTATGGTATGGTATGATATGGTATGGTATGGTAGATATGGTATGGTATGGTATGGTATGGAATGGTAGGCATGGTATGATAGGGGAGGCTGCAATGGTAGGCGTGGTATTGATATGGGAGGCGGGGGGGAGAAGGAGAGGATGTTCTGGGAAAACAAGATCCCCACTCAGGATGTGGGGAAATAGCATGGGTTTCCAATACCCTCCTCGCTCAGGCGGGGCCTCCCTGGAGGGGAGGGAGGGGCACGAAACCATGTAAATAGTACGGGTTTCCAATACCCTCCTCGCTCAGGCGGGGCCTCCCTGGAGGGGCGGGAGGGGCACGAAACTTAGTAAATAGTGTGGTACTCCGATACCCAGCTCGCTCTTGCGGCTATGGCATGGTATGGTATTGTATGGGTAGTTTCGTTTGGTATTGTTTGGTATGTGTGGTATGGTATTGTTTCGTATGGTAGGTATGGTCTTGTATGGTATGTGTGGTATGGTATTGTATGGTAGGTATGGTATGGTATGGAATGGTATGGTGTGGTATGATATGGTATGGCACGTATGCTATATAGTATGGTTGATATGGTATGGTGTTGGTCGGTATTGTGTGGTATGTATGATATGGTATGGTGTGGAATGGCATGGTAGGTCTGGTCTGGTATGTATGGTATGGTATGGTATGGTATTGTATGGTATGGTATGGTATTAGTTGGTAGTGTGTGGTATGTATGGTATGGTATGGTATGGTTCGGTATGGTATGCTATATAGTATGGTTGGTATGGTATGGTAGTGCTCGGTATTGTGTGGTATGTATGGTATGGTGTGGTATGGCATGGTAGGTATGGTATGGTATGGTATTGTTTGGTAGTGTGTGGTATGTATGGTATGGTATAGTATGGTATGGTATGATATGGTATGGTATGGTATGGTATGGCACGTACGGTATGGTATGGAATGTTAGGCATGGTATGATATGGGAGACTGGAATGGTAGGCATGGTATTGATATGGGAGGCGGGAGGCGGGAGGGAGAAGGAGAGGATGTTCTGGGAAAACAAGAACCCCACTCAGGGTGTGGGAACAACGAGGAAAATGCAGGGGTAAGGGTACCTGTTCCTCCACGGACCGTTTGCACTGACTCCCGTCTCTAGAAGAAGGAAAAACAGAAACATAAACTGTTGGAGCTCCGCGCGGATTTCTTGGATCTGCGCCGGACCCCCTCCCTGGCGCGCTGGGGCGGCGCCAGAGACGCCGACAGGGGGGCCCAAGCGCGGATCCGAGAAATCCGAACGGAGCGCCAAAAATGTATGTTTATGGATCTGTTTGGCCCGGGGGGACGGGTACCTGTTCCTCCTCTAACCGTTTGCACTGACCCGCGTCTCTCGACAGAGGTCTAACAAAAACACACCCGTAAGAATCACCCCGACACGCGAAGTCGTTCAGCAAACGCGCCCAGGCAAGGAAGAAGGCAGGGCAGGGCTGTGGAATAAACGCCCAGGGCCGCTCAAGAGAAAGGCCAGTTTGTCGGGCCCGGGCGGTTTTGTTCCCCCCTCCCCCCCTCCCTCCCTCCCTCCCTTCCCCCCCCCCCTCCCTCCCTCCCCCGTCCCTTCCCCCTCCCCTCCCCCCCCCCCTCCCTCCCTTCCCTCCACAATTACTCAATATGAAAATACTCTCCCTCTTCCCTTGATGGCGTCAGGGTGATGGCCGCGCACCCTCCGCGTATTGTTTTTTTACACACACGATTCCCTGGAAATCCCGGGAAACGACTCTCGCTGAGGCGCTGGCGTCATTTTCGGGCCGAACGCCCCCCGCGTACTGTTTTTTATACACAGGATTCCCGGGAAACGGGTTTTCGCCTGCGTTTTTGTTTCAAAATGATGCTCTCGCTGAGGCGCCGGCCTCATTTCTGCTCCCGAATAGTTCCGAATCGTGCTCCCGCTGCAGCGTGGGCCTCATTTTCGGATTGGTGTTTGGCCTCCGTCGTTCAGGATGGCGTTCTCGCCCCAGCGCGGGCCTTTCTCGCGCGCCCATCCGCCCGCCACCACCGCGCCGCACCACCACCACCACCACCACCACCACCACCACCACCACCACCACCACCACCACCATCACAACCACCACCACCACCAGCACCACCACCAGCACGAGCACCAGCACCACCACCACCACCACCACCACCACCACAACCACGCACACACGCACGCACGCACGCACGTGCACCACCACCCACTACGCAGGCGCGCACGGAGCCACAGGTCCGATCAGCGCCATGGTAAGGGATGGGAGGGAGGGGTAGGACGTCAGATATGACGCGAGCGCACCTAGCTTGCCTCCCTCCCCTCCCTCCCTCCCTCCCTCCCTTCCCTCCCCTCCCCTCCCCCCCCCTGCCCAGGGAGGGAGGGAGGGGAGGCAGGGGAGGGAGCCCCGATGGGCCACCGCCAGCGTGTGCTCCGGGCGCGCCAGCAGCCACGCCACCGCGCGCCGCGCCCTTTCGAGGCCCGCGGCGCGGGGCTCGCGCTCGCCGGGCGGCGCGGGGTCCGCCTGGGCGGCCGCGCCACGGGAGGGCCGCGGCGCTCCGCCGACCCCACCCAGAGCCTCAGCAACTGTTGTTCGCAAGGACTCGAATGGACAGGGAGCGTCAAATCGGAAACCTTGTTACGTCTCCTTCTTCCTCTCAGTGACAAAGTTCACTAAAGACTTCCCGCAGGCAGGTCAAGGAACTGGACACCGCAGCAGTCCGAATTGTCCACTGGATCACTCAGTCGATAGGAGCGACAAGCGGAAGGAACTCTCCTGGTGCACATTCATTTGTTTCCGTCGGTAGCGAGGCACAGTTGGCTGCACCAGCGGTACAGCTAGACGGGGGCACCGAAAAGCGAATTGGCCAGCATGCAAGAGGTACGAAGAAGGCAGAGCGGGCGGCCGCGGGGGGGGAGAAGAAATGGTCCACCTTAACAAGGGATAGGTCGACACCTACAGCAGGGGCCAAACCACAAGAGACCTTCAACGAGAGACCCAACCCTGACATCCCAGGACCTGCATCCATTTCTGGTGTTGGAACATCATGCTAACCGTAGCAAGACCCTCGAAACCCAAGAAACCCAGGGCACCCTGGAGGCAAGCACTGCAAAGCTGCCCCCGAGAGGCCCCCGAGAGGCCCCCCACGAGACCCCAACGAACATCCAGTAGGCTTCATACCCACAGCCCAGGCACGGTGCCGGGATGGGCCGAAGTCCACTTAGATATGTGCGGCGGAAGGCCAGAGATCCCACGTGAGAGCGGCGCGAGCGGAGCCGACCCCCCCCCCCAAACGCGCAACGGCGCCAAAGGGGCGCGCGGCGCCCGCCTCGCCGTCGAGGCCAGACAGGTCCAGCCTGGACGGGCGCGACGCCCCTCACCCCGGCCCCTGGCGGCCGCCCCCGCACGCACCCTTTTTCGGTTTTCCTCCTCCTTCACCTCCTCCTCCTCCTCCTCCTCCTCCTCCTCCTCCTCCTCCTCCTCCCCCTCCTTCTTCTCCTCCTCCTCACCCTCCCCGTCCGCCTCCCCCTCCTCCTCCCGGTCCTCCTCCTCCTCCTCCTCCTCCTCCTCCTCCTCCGCCTCCTCCTCCTCCTATGTAGCCATGTTCGCTCGAAGTGATGATTATCCTCAGGGAAAACAATAGATACCGCTAGTCCGCGGCAGACGAGACTTCCTGAAGTCTCGCAAGGCGTTTCTTCCACGCACCAGGCGCTGGAGGCGGCGGGCATACGTAGGCGTTTCCCGTCCCCGCTGTCTCGAGCGCCCAAATGGCGAAGGCTGCACCTGGCTACGTCGCGTGCGCGGCCTGCCGCTACCGCTGGACCTTCCGCAAGAACGAGCACTGCTTCAACTGCGGCAAGGCGCTCTACGTCGGCACCTTGCCCAGCCAATCGCCTCGCGGCGCCTGGGCCAATGGCGCTGGAGACGCGGGCAAGCCAGGACGTCAAGGCGGCAAGGACAAGGCGGGCAAGGGCAAGGGCAAGGGAGACAGGAACAAAAAAGGAGCCCACGGCGCTGCTTCCGCAGGCGCTGGCCAGGACCAGCCGCACTTCCCCACGGCCCCACGGGAACGCGAGGCGGCCCCAGGTCCCAGCGAGCTGGACGCGCCCCTCGCCGCGCAGGATCCCAGGGCGGCGGAGGCCTTGCGCGCGGCCGCCGAGGCGGCCCGCAAGTGCGAGGCCCAGCCGCCTCCCCGCGCGCGCCGCACCACAGCGAAGGGGCTTCAGTCGGCGGTGGATCGCCGCCTGCACGCCTCCACAGCACTGGGCTCCGCAGCCTGGACCGCCGCCGAGCGCGAGCAAGCGTTCGAGAATGTCAAGGCATGGCGCGACGAGAAGGCGCTGGCCTCGGCCGAAGCCCAGGCCGACGAGGCTGCGGCCCTCCGCCAGCGCAGCCAGGAGGCGGGCATCAAGCAGGATGTCTGTCAAGGACACCCAGGTCCTCTTCGACTTCAGCCTCCCCGACGGCCTCGAAGAGCCGGAGAGGGGGGCCCAGGACAACCTCCGCGAGATGGTCCGCACAGGACAACTGATTGCCGAAGAGAGCCTGGCCAACTATAAGGCCAAATGCCGCGCCCAGCTCGACCACGTCGCCAAGCAGGTCGCAGAGGCCCAGGCGGCCAAGGTCGCCAGCCAGGCGGATGGCGAGCACAAGCCCGTGCCAGGGGCTGCCGGCGAGGAGGGCGCGCTGCCAGGGGGCGCGCCCAGCGGTGGAGCGGCCCGTGCGGCGCAGCCTGCGGCACCAGCGGGCGCGCCCGCGGCCTCAGCGGCGCGCCCACTGCTCCAGCTGCGCCCACTCATGAGCACTTGGACACCCGGCGAGTCGCCGCCGAGCTCGCTGCCGCGGCCGCCCAGGCGGCCAAGGCTGGGCTCCAGGAGCTGGCCGCAGCCAAGGGGGCCAAGGGCACGGGCGCCGCTCCTCACGCGAGCGTTGATGAGGTTAATCGCGGCGGCACCGATGCTGGGGCGCCCAGCGTGTAGCATGGCAGAAGATGCCCCAAGGGGGCATGACGCCGCCGTTGGCGCCAGCGAGCACAACGGCCTGGATGAGGAGGAAGGCGACCTTTTTCGCGGAAATCGGCCAGGACCAAGACCTACTGCATCATGAAGTACGGCCTCTTGAACATACTCCTGCGCAGGATGCTGTGGTTACTGAGCCCGACGCAGCGGGCGCACTCGTGGCGGACAGCGCAAGCAAGGCAACGAGGGCTCCGTTCTCTTCGCCAACATCACGGACGGATCAGCACAGCTAGACCCGGCTACGGACACGCTGCAACTGATCCAGCTTCAGCCTGACCAAACGCCGGTGATGCTGGCCCCAGACAAGATCGACGAAGACCTCCGCCTCTGCGCATATAACGGCAACACGTGGAACCCGGCCGCCACCGTTCACGAGTGGATGCGTAAGAACGGGCTTGAGCCGCACATCATGCTCTTCCGGGAGACGCGCTTCTTTTCCCCTACGGCGGAGGAGCAAACCCACGGCTGGGGTAGCCGAGGCGGCCAGCAGCTGGCCTGCTCGGGAATCCCCAAGACGAAGAGGCGGCCACGGCGGTGTCCTCAGGAGTGCGCATCATCTCCTCCCGCATGCTGGGCTCGACCCGACACCATCGGCCGTGGACAGGCGCGTAGCACAAGGTCATCGCCCGCAGGCTGTCCGTGCGAGCGGGCACCACCATCACCAGGGTCTCCATCTACCTGGCAGACGGCGTCGGGGTCTGCTCCTCGACGACCTCAATGAGTGGTGCGCCCACCTGGATGACCCCCCCATCATCGGCGGCGACTGGAACGTCGAGGCCAGCGAGCTCGCCGACCCGGGTTGGCCCGAGCTGGTCGGCGGCGCCAACGTCGCGCCAGGCATGGCCACCTGCAACGACAATGAATACGACTTCTTCGTCATCTCCACGGCGCCGGAGGACATGAACGGCTCCATCGCAGCCCGCGTGGACACGCCCAACGGCCCCCACGCGGCGGTCACGCTCGTGTTGCGAGGCTGCTTGAACCCGTTCGTTTATTCGGGCGGGTCACGCGCGTGACTGGGGAGGGGGTTCGTCGCGCCGGTCACGCCACGGCGGGGGTGCGCTAGTGGTGCCGCAACATGCCCATAAGCACCGCAAGGCGCCTGCGAAAAACAATCGCCTGCGACCCGGCAGTCCCGACGTGCCTGTGACCAGCGCCACAAAAGCTTGCGATCCGATCAACGCGACGTGCCTGTGAACACAAGAATGCATTTGACGAGCGCAGCGTCCATGAACACCACAGCGCCTGTGAACATCAAAACGGCTGTGAACACAGCGCCTGCGAACACCACAGCACCTGTAAATACCACATCGCCTGTGCACACTACACAGCCCGAAAACGCCACAGCGCGTGTGCACACCACAACGCCTATGAATATAGCGCCAACAAGCACCGCCTAGCCTTGGGTCCAGCGGCAGCGCGCAAGGACTAGCATTATAAGCAGCAGTAGCAATAAGCAGCACTAATAACAGTAGTGGTAGTAGGAGTAGTAGTAGCAGTAGTAGTAGAAGTAGCAGTACTAGTAGCAATCGTGGCCGTAGTAGTAGTAGTAGTAGTAGTAGTAGTAGTAGTAGTAGTAGTAGTAGTAGTAGTAGTAGTAGTAGTAGTAGTAGTACTAGTAGTAGTAGTGTAGTAGTAGTAGTAGTAGTAGTAGTAGTAGTAGTTAGTAGTAGTAGTAGTAGTAGTAGTAGTAGTAGTAGTAGTAGTAGTAGTAGTAGTAGTAGTAGTAGTAGTAGTAGTAGTAGTAGTAGTAGTAGTAGTAGTAGTAGTAGTATAGTAGTAGTAGTAGTAGTAGTAGTAGTAGTAGTAGTAGTAGTAGTAGTCGTCGTAGTAGTAGCAGTAGTAGTAGTAGTAGTAGTAATGGCAATAGTAGTAGTAGTAGTAGTAGTAGTAGTAGTAGTAGTAGTAGTAGTAGTATAGTCGTCGTAGTAGTAGTAGTAGTAGTAGTAGTAGCAGTAGTAGTAGTAGTAGTAGTAGTAGTAGTAGTAGCCGTAGTCGTAGTCGTAGTTGTAGTCGTAGTCGTAGTCGTAGTTGTAGTCGTAGTCGTAGTCGTAGTCGTAGTAGTAGTAGTAGTAGTCGTAGTAGTAGTAGTAGTAGTAGTAGTAGTAGTAGTAGGCGTAGTAGTAGTAGTAGTAGTAGTAGTAGTCGTAGTAGTAGTAGTCGTAGTAGTAGTAGTAGTAATAATAATATGTGTTGTCGTCGTCGTGATCGTCGTCATTGGAGTCGTCGTTGTCGTCATCGGCGCCGGAGTCGAAGTCTGAATCGTCGTCGTCGACAGCGTCGTCGTCGTGCTCCTCCTCCTCCTCCTCCTCCTCCCCCTCCTACTCGTCCTCATTTTGTCCTGCCCTGGACACGGCCCCCTGCATTTGAGCCCGCAGTGCCAGCGCACGCCACAGCGACTATGAACACCGCAACGTTCATTTACTACACGACGCCCGCGTGTGCATTCAGTGCCCGTATACACCACGCAGCGCAAGCAACTGCGAGCGCCGCGCTCCGACCGCCGCGCCCATGCCCTCAGCAACAGAACAACACTGCGTCCCTGAGTGCACCACGCGGCACGCACGCAAGCGCCGCTTTTCCTCGCGAGTGCCACAGCGTCCCTGTGAGTACAATTACATGCCTCTGAACACCACAGTAGCCTGCGAGCACCACAGGACGTCCGCGGTCGCCACTGGACGACCGCAGCGACGTGACTTTATCGCCGGGGTTTCCGAACGTGCTCTAGTGAGCTCCACCAACGGCCCCACTGGCGGGGTCCGCATGGCGCCGCCGCCGCGCCGCATTTCGGCACAAACTTCACACGTTTCATGGCCCCATAGGGAGCTCCAGGGTCCGCATGGCGCCGCCGCCCCATTTCGGCACACCCCTCACAGGGTTCGTGGCCCCATAAGGAAGCTCCACCCCGACGGCCCCAGTGGCAGGGTCCGCATGGCGCCGCCGCCCCATTTCGGCACACACCTCACACGGTTCTTGGCCCCATAGGGAGCCCCACCGAAATCAGGCGGGAGCCTCGTCTGTGAGTGAATTGCGAGGAAGTCTCAAACGGGAAACCCCTCCCTGTGGGGCCCGCATCTCGTATGAGTAACCCGAGCGGGTCATCGGCATCCTGCAACCGTCGTCACGTTTGGGCCCCTGAGGCCTGAATATGGAGAAAGTATCAGGCGGGACCTTCGTCTGTGAGTGAATTGCGAGGAAGTCTGAGGCGGAAGACCGCTCCCTATGGGGCCCGCAGCTCATGTGAGTAATCGGTCAGGGTCATCGGCCTCCTGCGACTGTCGTCTGCGAGTGAATTGCGAGGAAGTCTGAGGCGGGAGCCACCTCACTATGGGGCCCGCAGATCATGTGAGTAATCTGAGGCATGGACGGCGGCCGAGAAGGCCAGAGTATTCCAAAACCATGGTTTGTTTGTTGTATGGCTTGCGCATTACCGCCTTTTCTGTCGTCAGGGCGTCCAAGACGGCCAAAGAGGCGCCGAGGATCGCAAGCGTACCAAGAGCGCCCCCAAGGGGCGCCCAAGAGGCCCCCCAAGACGGACCCAAGATGCGGAATGCGAACTGACATGCTGAGCCCTCCTCCCCAGGCTGGCCTCAAGATGTGCGCCCATTTAAGAGGCCCTAAGAGGCCCCCAAGAGGCCCCGAGGGGCCCAAATCAGGCCCCGAGAGGCCCCCCAAGACGCCGCCCCAGGACACCCCCAACACCGCCTCACAGAGGCATCCGAAGAGGCCTCCCACGAGATGCCCACGGGTATCGCTCGGACGTACATTTCCTGTGTTTTTTTCGGTTTCGTGCGTGGCTTTTTCGCGAAATGATCAAGCATGCTCCTCGATGGTCCTCGCCGAAGGAAAAATGCACACGTCCGAGCGATGCCAAGCACAGGCATCCAGGAGGCCTGGGACCTAGAACCAGGGCAAGGCGGGGGAAGGCCACCGGATGACCACTCCCCGCCGCACAACGACAGTTCTCGGTAGAGCGGTTCGGGCAGCGTGCTCGGGGCCTCCTCGCTCGGCACCTTCGCGAAGCTTGACGTCTGCAGCTGCACAGATGGAGGGCGGGCGGTTCAAAAGATGGCTCTCGCCTGAGACCACCTCTCGAGCCTGAAACTTCGAGCAGCTACCGGACAATTCCGGATCTGGGTATCCAAATACGGTTCTTCTGTTTTACAATTCCCTTGCCTGGAAATCCCCTAAACACGGATAGAGATCGCGGACTGTTCAAACTCTCGTATTTCCTTGGGGGGTTCTTCGCATATTACATGCCACCGTGCCGAGAAGTACTGAGTGGGGTGTCGCTGCATTGAAAGAGGTGGGCGCCCAGGTGGCCTTTCCTCTTACTTTTAATGTGAGCTTGGACTGGTGTGGCACAAACCCACGAAGGTCGCAGCCGAAGAGCCGCGCACCTATGAAGGACAAGCGACGGGCTCATAGAGCAGCTGCCCTGACAGCCGCGAGCATACACCAGCCGCAGATGTTCGAGAACTGTGCCTCTTCGGGCTAAGTATGAAAAGGCTCTGGCCCATTCGGCATAGCTGTGTTACGGCTCCACCCCAGACACCCAACTCACGAGAGGCCTCCTGGAGGTCGGAGTAGATGGGGTCGGAGGATCGCGCCGCATCGCCGATACATCGCCGATATATTGGCGATGCGTCGGCGATGCGTCGGCGACGGACCAGCGATGCATCGTCGACGTCGGCGATGCACCGGCGACGTCGACGCGAAGCAACTCGGGCCGCACCTCGAGCCGTATCGGCGATGCATCGGCGATGCGGCGCGATCGTCCGACACCACCTGCTCCGACCCCATCTGGGAGGCCTAGAAGAATTCTTGGGCGATCTCGGGCGCCCCCTGGGCGATTCCGGGGCTTCCCGCGCGACTTCCCCGAGGCCTCGGCAGCACTGGTGGGGACCTCCGGGGACGATCTTGGACGGCCCGGGGGCCTCCCAAGATCCCCCAAGAAACCAGTCGCGGCGTTGACCTAAGGAACCCTAGATAAGGGACGAGGCCCCTTTTCTCGGTAAGTTCAACTTCAAATTCCGATCGAAAACAGAAGGAAGACCTAAGGCGAACTGCAAAACAACTAAGGAACAGTGAGCCCCTCCCAAACGAAAAGGGTTCCTCCTTCAGCGCCCCGACTGTAGCAGCCTGATGTCGTCCGCGACCCAGGCACAGTGGATGGGCCGAAAGCCAATAGAGAGCCCTGGAAGTAAAAAATCACACTGCTGCACGCATGAAGACGGCTCATATTTGAACCGGGCTCTCGCCTGAGACTATCTTACCCATGGCCCCACACATGATAAATTCAAACGGATGCACCAACGGAGTGCCTTATCTCTTTCACGTGCGTTATGCCGCCCAAGGCTTTTGACATTCAACAAAATACGCCCAATGTTTTGAATGCCCGATATCTGCAACGATAAGTCGCACTCCTGTTCGACGTCGTGGCCTCGCTTTGGTCGCTCTCAAATTCTGGAATCCCCAACCAAAACATGGCCGGAGGTCGATTTCCTCTCCCTCCCAGTTTTCCTCGCCACGTGAATCAGCTTTTCTCACTGCACCGACCTTGCAGACGCGCTGCAGCGGATTTTTGCATGGATTTCTGCCAATACAAAACTCGAAACGGCGAGTGAGGAACGAAGTGAATTTCGCGTGGATTGTTTGTAGTCTTCATTTCTGGTCCAAACAAATCCGCACGAAATTCACCTCGAAATCTGGAGCGAAATTCCGAAGGGACAATGCGGGCCCATACCTTTTTTCCGAACTAAATCCGCTCTGCGATGTTGGCGCCATAACAAATCCCCCACCAACCACATGGCCGGATAGCGATTTCCTCTCCTTCCAGGTTTGCCTCGCCACGTGAATCAGCATTTCGGGCCTCACGTGTAAGTATAACATCTGGAAGGCGCACGTCGCCCGCACTTGTTCCGGCCCAGGGGCCCTCGTTACCCCCTGCCCCGTCCCCCTCTTCCTCGCCCACCGCATGCGGTTCTGCTCCGCTTCCTTCTTTAGGAGAACGAACAATGACGTAAACATAAAACTCGGAGGGCCGCGCGGATTTCTCCGGATCGGCGCTCGACCCCCCTCCCTGGCGCGCTGAGCGCGCCAGGGGCGGCGCCGGAGGCGCCGCCTGGGGGCCCCAGCGCCGATCCGAGAAACCCGTGCGGAGCGCAAAAAAATTATTGTCATTGTTCGTTCCCCTATTCTCGCGATCCGAAAGGCAGCCACTCACCCCCGCTTTCCCGCTCCGCTTCCCTTCCCCTTTGCCCTCTCTCCTCTCATCAGCCTCCCCAGCGTCCTGGTCCGCGGACCCCCCAGCGCAGCGGCGATCTCCGCCCTGGGGCCGCGCATGTCGCTGGGGGACCCAGTGCGGCGCTCGCGAAGACACTCCAGCAGGCAGAGCTGCACCTCGGAGGAAGAGCCAAACATGCATGACGAAGATCTGGCGTTGCCAAGACTGCGCTGAAGGGGACCTGGCTGGGTTTAGTATTCAAATTTCAAATCCATGTGAGAGGGCTTTGGGGCTCCACGAGAGAACCGGCTCCCCTTGCTCGGGGTCCTGGCGACCAGGAGACGAAAACGAGCACGCGCCAGTCGGAGGAAAGAAGGAACACCTGACGCTGGAAAACGTTGAGGTTGATCGGACTTCGGGCCGCCTCCGAGACAGGGCGGAGAAGAGGAGAGGCCCTTCGAGTTTGGAACCAGAGAAGTGGGTAGGTTCGGTCAGATGACGCTCCGGAGTTCGGAACTGACCTGCTCCAGCGACCGACGCGCAAGAGGAGGGAGGACGGCTTACGAGGACGCGCCTGCGGACTCCGGACGACGCGCCTCTCGCCCCCACACCGCGCCCCGAGGCACGAGCTGGAGTGTCCTCGGGCCCTTCCCAGACTGAAGGGGCCCTTGGACACACAAATAGATAGACACAAATAGCACGATTCCCCACATTTCCCAATATTTTGGGGGGTGTCTGTCTTCCCCCCCACCTCCCCTATTTTCATGTTCCTGGGAATCGACGATTCACTGTGCCTGTGTGTTTTTTCCCCTCCTGACAGACATCCCACCAGCAGAACCTCTCGGGGATCTCCTGACCCGGGTCAACCCAGACCCCGGGTCAGCCAGGGCGTGCAGAATCCTGCAAAATCCTGCAAGACCCTGCACCCAAGCCCGGGTCCATGCGGAGGATCCTGCTCAGTGCGGAGGATCCTGCGAGATCCTGCAGGGTCCTGCACCCAAGCCCGGGTCGATGGGAGCCTGGCCCTGCAGGTTCCTGCAAGATCTGGCGCTCTGGCTGACCCCCGTTTGCGTTGAGCCGAGGGGAGAAGGCGAGAGATGGAGGAGGAGGAGGAGGAGGAGGAGGAGGAGGAGGAGGAGGAGGAGGAGGAGGAGGAGGAGGAGGAGGAGGAGGAGGAGAGAGGAGGAGAGAGGAGGAGGAGGAGCTCCCGAACCTCGACAAGGCCCACAGCCCCGAGCTCCAGGGGCCGCCGGGCGCCCCCCTGGGATTGCCGCAGACCTCTCGGGGGGGCGCGTCGCGCGACGGCCCTCCTCCGCGGCCGCGGGGGGCCACGACGAGGCCAGGGCCCCGGGGGGCCTCCGGGAGCCCCCGGGACTGCGCGGGGGGGCCCCGAGGCGGCCCAGCAACGCCCCAGGACGCCCGAACGGCGGGAAGACGGTCCAAGATACCCCGACCAGTGCGCCCCCGAGAGGGCCCCAAGAAGCCGCCCACGGGCAGCCCCAAGACACAAGGATCAGGGACGCTCACGGACTCCAGCGTTCTCAGCGTCTCGGCCTTCCGACGCCCCAGGGCAGCCCAAGATGAGCTCGGGATATCAGCACCCTCTGAGCCGAAGCCCTTGCTGGCCTCTTGGAGCCTGGAGGAGGAGGAGGAGGAGAAGGAGGAGGGGGAGGAAGAGGAGGAGAAGGGGGGAGGAGGTGAAGGAGGAGGGGGAGGAGGAGGAGGATGGAGGAGGAGGAGGAGGAGGAGGAGGAAGAGGAGGCGGCGGCGGAGCCCTGCCGTGGCGGCAGGGAGCCCCGCACAAGGACCGTCGGCGACCGCGGCGGGGCGGGCCCGCGGGCGGGCCCCGAGGGGGGGGCCCCCGCGGGGGAGCGCGGCCCGGCAACTCGAGCCCGCGGCCCCAAGAGGACCACACGGAAACCGCCAGCGGGCCCCCAGTCGGGCGTTGGCAGATAGGGCGACGAGATCTATACATATCCACTGCTCCCGGCCAGGCCAATCCTGGGCCCAAGAGCTGTGTATACGCCCTCCTGGCTTGGCCAGGGAGGCATATACACCGCTCCTGGGCCCAGGATGGGCCTGGCCAGGAGTAGTGGATATGTATAGATCTCGTCGCCCCAGCAGAACTGGGTTTAGTGGAACCTGGTTTAGTGCTGTGTACCCGGGGGCGCCCCCCCGCCCCGTTCCGCTGACCGGAGCTGCCGTCACCCGAAAAACGCCAATCATGGCAAACCTGGTCTAGTGAATCTGGCCAATTGAGGGGCCCCAGGGCCCTGCAACTAACCAGGTCCCCTTACCCGGGGTCCTGGCCATACCCGACCCAGGGCCCCGAGAGGCCCCCAGTGCGTGACGCCGAGCTCACGCAGAGCAACACGCGGGGAAACCACGAGACATCGCTTCCAGAATCTCACATCGGCGAAGGCATCGAGCGGAGACGGCACAGCGAGCTGTGGGAAAACACGAGCCACGCGTTCCTACTCTGGGTGTGGCCACAGACCACGCCTTCCTACAATTGGTTTGCCTATATCACCGTTACCTGACACACCGTTAGGGCGTCTACGGAAGAAGCCCCAAGAGGTCGCCAGGAGGACCCAAAAAAGGTCGCACAGAGGCCCCCAGGAGGCTCCCAACTGCCTCAAAGAGGCCCCCGAGAAGCATCCTAAGAGAGCCCAAACACGCATCCAAGAGGCATGTGGTTCACGAGCCCATGAACGGTGGCGGGTTGAGCCGAGGGTCATCTGGATTCGCCGCCCCCTGCTGGCTTGCCACAGGGGTGCACGGCGTGCTAGACTTCTTACGGTTCCGGGTTGTTGTTTTTTCTGGGAGATCTCTCCGCTGGGGTTTCGGCCCGTCCCGCCAGCCACGAGGAAGACCTGGTTACCAACACTGCCTCGGTCCAGATGGCTCCAAGATGGCCCAAGATGGCCGCCAAGATGGCCAGTATGGCCTCGAAGATCGCCCAAGATGGTCCAAGATGGACTCGAAGACGGCCCAAGCGAGTCCAAGATGCCTCCAAGTCCGCCCAAGAGGCCACCAAGACGGCCCAAGATGGCCTCATGATGGCCCAAGACGGCCCAAGGGGTCCCCAAGAGGGCTCCAAGACGGCCCACGAGGCCTCCAAGAGGGCCTGCATGAAGGCACGCAGAGGCCGAAACCATGGATAGGTTTTTTGAAGAGTTTCGGCAGTTGCTTCTCTTCCGCCTTCCGACGGCCCGAGATGGCCCAAGAGCCCCAAAAGGTCGCCCTAAAATCGCCCAAGAGGCCTCCAAGATGATCCCATGACGGTCCAAGAGGCTTCCAAGACGGCCCCAACGAGCCACAAGATGACCCACGAGGCCACGACGGCCCTGGAGCACCCCAGAGGGGCACCAAGTCGGCCCAATGAGGCCCCCCGGTCTCCGACGGCATCAGACAAACCAGGAGCCCACCAAGACTGCCCAAGATCCCCCTCCTCCCCCCCTCTTCTTCTTCCTCCTCCTCCTCCTCCTCCTCCTCCTCCTCCTCCTCCTCCCTCCTCCTCCTCTCCTCCTCCTCCTCCTCCTCTCCTCCTCCTCCTCCTCCTCCTCCTCCTCCTCCTCGCCCTCCCTCCTCCTCCTCCTCCTCCTCCTCCTCCTCCTCCTCCTCCTCCTCCTCCTCCTCCTCCTCCCATCCTTCCTCCTGATCTTACCCGCCACCCTCCCCCAAGTGTTCCCGGGAGGGTCTCCACAACGGCTGGGGGAGGACATGGTCCGATAGTATGGCAGAGTTCTTGCCACAACGCTCGGCCACATGGGCGATTCGAAATGGCAGAGGCGGCGGTGATTCGCCGAAGGCGTCTTCGATCCGCCGCCTTGTCTGGCTTGCCACAGGGGTGCGCAGCGTGCCAACAGTGCGCGCTGGCTGCTCCAGAGGCTTCCATCTGGGCCTGGGCCGCCCGCGCCAGCCTCCCAGAACCCCCTCGAAATCGCGGGCCGCCCCGCGCAAGACTACCCCTGGATGACCTCCGAGACGGCCAATGCAGATTCCAAGAGGGCCCCGACGGCCCGAAGAGAGCTTCGGATGGCTCCGAAGTGTTACGACGACGGCTCAGGAGGCCACCCAACACGGCCGAGTGCCGTCCAGCCGGCCGCCGCCCAAGAGGACCTCCTGGAGGCGACAATAACCACGCCCCATAGGACGCTCAATGAGTTTAGCGGTCCCGCCTTCTCGGGCGCCCGACGCTCCAAAACGGCCCCACGGACCCCCATCGATCGCCCGTGGACGGCCCAAGAGGCCCCAGGACGGTCCCAAGACGGCTCCAAGGGCCCCCAAGATGGCAACAAAACGGCCCCGCAGACACCTAAGACGACTCCAAGGCGCCCAAAGGGGGACCCACGACTGCCCAGTGGGGCCCCCGAACGCCAAGACGTCCCTTGGAGGAACCCCAGACGCCTGCAAGAGGCCCCCACAAGGCCCCTGGAAGGCCCCGAGAAGGCCTTCAAAGGTCCCCAGGCAGCTCCAAGGAGGCCCACAGGAGACCCAAAGAAGCCTCTGGTTCTTCCCCCCCTCTCCCTCCTCCTCCGCCTGCGACCAGACCGAAGCGCGAATACAGCTTGTCCGCGGCAAAGGGGGCAAACGCTCCCGCAGACAGAAGAATCGGCCGCGCAGCAAGCCCGACGGAGCAGGGAGGGGAGGAGGGAGGACGGAGCAGGAGGAAGGAATAGGGAAGGAGGCGCCGGCCTCAACTCCACTACCTGAAGAGCAGCACCTGCCGCTCCGAAGGCGAGCGGCTCCAATCCCTACCTGGCTGGCTTTTCCAGCATCAGGTGGCACAAAGTACCCCACGCCGCCGTGCGGGGCAAACGGCGCGTATTACCGCACACGGGTAACCTGGCTCGCCCCAACCAGCCCCCATTGCCCAAGGGGGGCCAGGCGGTACACGTCACGCGACGCCACGCGAGGGTCGATACAGTGGATGGACCCTGCCCCCACACCAAGCAGGTACCACGCAGGTCGACGCGCACCGGATGACAGATCCGCGCCAGACCAGGAGGATTACCCTCGCGGCCCCAGAACGCTAGGTCCTCGAGGGACCTGACACTGCAGACCCATGCCCCGGCCGCACCACCGCTGGAGCAGAAGGGCACCGCCCCTGGCCCCCAAGGCCAACGTTTGGCCACAGGGGGCGTTTCCAAAAGGCAGGGGGCGGTAATTCGTCGGAGGCGTATAACTCCCAAGTGTCGCACCACCAGACATGTCGACAGGGTAGTCGGGGCGTTTCGCCTGCGACCTCTTCACTGACTGTCACCCTGAAGATTAGAATTCAAACAGCTCCTACGATGGAGAGGGGGAGACAATGGTGTCCTCGCCTCAGCGCCGCGCGCATTCGCATTTCAAAGCTGGCAAACGCTACGAGAAGGAAAAGGGAGCGTGTATCATGGGTCTCTGACCTTGGCGCCGCGCACATTCGCCGTAAATGCGCGGAAAAGGTAATGACAGTGAGAAGGGGCTCGAGGCCTCCTTGACTTGAGGCTTCATAAGCATATTTGGACTCTTGGGGCCTCACTTGTTTCATAGACGAAAACATGTCTTACAGCGGCACGGATGGACGGCGGCTCCGTTCCAGAATGGGGCTCTCGCGCGAGACCCCCTGCACATCCATAGACCGGGATGTCAACTCGTGCAGCAGCTACATGGACGGAGCGCGATTCACTTTCAAAACGGGGCCCTCGCTGGAAACCTCACTGAACGTTCGGATCCTACCTCCTGTTGCTGCTTCTTCTCGAACCTGCGCTTGCCCCTAGGCTACCCTTTCTAGTGCCTCGAGAGCATGATGTGATGCAGCTTACTGAATGCAGTCTGTAATTCAGTAGCCTCGGCCTAAATGCGGATCGTCATCTCAATAGAGCAGAATATGGCACTCTCTCTGTCCCCCTCCGGCTACATCATTGACAATACCAACCCTGTTGCTCCTCAAAATCATCGGACAAACCCGCCGTCCATGCACAACAACCAGTTTGAGCGTCTCCATTCCCGAAGCCCACGCTAGACTGCGAACATCCGATTCATGGGGCCCCAAATTCCTGCTGCTCTGGCTGGGTATTTGATCGGCCACGCCACAAGATCGCCAGAGAAACCCTGGCCATCAATCCAAGTTTGAACATGCAAGCGATAAGCCAACAAGTACTTTCGAAAAAAACGGAAAGTCATATCCATCAGCGATGAGTGGCTTCTCTCCAAGCCAGGCACTGCCCTTTTTATCCCCCTAGACGCACAGACATCCCCCAATGCAGCTCCATTCACGATACCAGGGGGCCAAAGAATCTCCAACGGCACTCCGTCCTCCACCACAGGCTCATGTTTCGGGGGGGGGGACATGGCGGCTAGAAGGGGAAACACAGAAAGACGCCACCGACCAATATGTCCAAACATGCTGGAAACTCAGCCATTTTGGCAAGGCATGTTTCGCATCCCTGCAGCTCGCCACTCGAACCAAGGATATGTGTGCGCGCGAGTGCAATGAGCACAACCGGTGCCCCATCTCAATGACCCTGGCAATGTCAATACCAACTGCCACCAGAGAGCAATCAAATTCTCCCAGACATGTTAAAATGAATACAGCCCAATTCTTGGTCCATACTGTTCCCTCCAAGCGTCTGGTCTTAGGTCGGGCGTGTCCCTACAGGGGGATTATGGACGAAAAATGCAAAATGGTCCGATATACTCAAAAATGCTCAACAATACTTCAATAAAGAGTCCCCAACTATTTTTGCACCTATTTCTGAATATTCCTCCCGTAGAGGGACACGCCCGGCTGAAGTCTGGCCCTACATGTCCTCGTTCTTCCTGCCCGTTGGAAGGTTACAAGGGGCACTTCCTTGTCAGAATGGGAGCTGTCGCCCGAACGAAAGGCACGGGGAGCACTTCTTGCAGAAGACAAGAAGGCGTGTAGGGACCTACAGGGCAGTTTTTAATACATGGGAGTTTAATAAATATGGGATTTGTAGTACATGATAAATTTATGAATGCATGGATTCATGAACTCATCGTTTTTTTTTTATATCAAGTCCCTGCATGTTGAATGTATGATCCGCACGCGGAGCACGCATGAAAAACGGCACTGAACGAGAAGGGGTTGGCACGGCCCGGCGGCTCTGCCACCTTGAACCGGCGATGCCAACCCTGCGCACCCTCCTGCCGATGCCGAGGCCTCGCCAGCTCGATGCCTGGGCATCACCAGGTCGAGGCCTGGGCATCGGCTACGCCCGGCTGCGTCCGGCACCGTCGGTGGACGCATGCCTCGATGCATGCGCAGGCATACCCGCGCAAATGCCCAGGCATGCCTAGGCATCGACACGGCCATGCCCAGGCGTGCCACGACGATGCGTAGGCATCTGGGCTGGGGGGGTTCACGGCGAAGGCTGGCAGCAGAGCGGGCGGACCGACCCAAAGAAGGGGACTTGAGACGGAAGGGTGCACTGTGGCATCGTCGACGCATCCTTCGCTTCCTCTGGCCCACCGACGCCTCCATCGGGGAAGTCCCACCGACCTCTCCCCAGGGGTGCGTTGTGACCAGGATTTCTGGAGGCGACTGCAGCGGTGGCGACGAGGGCCTCCCAGGGCCCAGAAGGGCAAAATCGGGGCAGGGGCAGCCTTGGGTCGGGTCGGTCGCGGGTGTTCCTCCTCTCGGGGGACACGCCCGACTGAAGGGCAGCAGCATCGGCCTTGCTCAATTACACGGCGCTCTGCCACAGGGGAGCACGCAGAGGCAAGGTAACCAGAGAGAGTTCCCAGGTGGAGGGGAGGCCTAATATTAGGTCGGGCATGTCTCTGTACAGGCGGATTCTGGACGGAAAATTAAACATACTAAAAATATGCAAAACTAGTCAGACCATACTCATAAAATGGTCCCCTGACTATTTGTTTGACTAGTTTTTGATATTCCTCCTGTAGAGGGACAGGCCCGACTTAAGGCTAATCCCGAGGAGGGAGGCGGAGAGGAGGGGCCCAGGGGCACACAGACGAGTAGACGCACATCCAAGGGTTGCCCACGTTTGCCCAGAGTCGCTGGGTTTTCGTCCTCCCCCTCCATTTCCCACGTTTTCACCATGTGTCTGTGCCTGCTTGTTCCTCCTGAGCGGAGGAGGGCGGAGGGAGGGAAACTCCTGTGGGGCGAGACAGCCCCGCCCGCCATCCAATCCTCCCCCCTGCCGCTCCTTCACCCTGAGCTTTCGCCGACCACCCCATACTGCTCTCCCCTCATCCGCTCACCATCTCCTCATACACATTGTATCGCGATGTGTTCTTTGCCACCCGAGGCGGAGCCCGACTGAGGGCCAACAAGAGCTAAAAACCTCGATCCTCGAACCTCGACCCTCCTTCTGCTCGTGATGGGAAGAGACGCGCCTCTGGGAAGACCAGCCGCGCGCTCTGGTACGCGCGGCGGAGGGGCGATGCGGCGACCACCTCGCGAGGGTGGTGCGCTGAGGTGGCCGGGAAACTCTCCTCGTGACAAATCCCACCAGCCCTTTCGAGCGTAGGTGGTCTGGGGTGTCTTGTCTTCCATCTGCCCCTCTTACCCTTCCCCCTGCCCCCTCCCATGGACCTGGACGGGGGGTCCCGCGAGAGGTTGGAGCGTCCAAGATGGACCAAGATGGCTCCAAGAGCGCCTCGGAGAGCCCAAGATGAGCTCCAAGATTGCTCAAGATCTCCGAAG